CGCATACACTACAATGGCTGCTGGAAAGAGGGGAAAGCAAACAATTTCCAGGCCCGCCGCGTCCAGCCCGAAATATGGGGAAAAAATTACAGAAAAATCGGAGAACACTGTAAAGGGTGGAAACGGGGCGCAGAGGGGATGCTGAGGCTCCCGCGGTGAGTCTGCTGCGGGTTTGGGGGGCAGGCGCCGGGGTTTAGCAGGGAAATATCAGGGTTATTTAAATTATGAAGGGGGAGGAGGAGAAGGAGGAGGGGGAGCGGAGAGAGGAGCAGCAACCAGCGGCAAGGAAAAGTTTGTGTTACTCGCTCCCCACATCACGGAGCTGCCCCCCACCATCCTTCTCGGCACCCCAAGGCAGAGAGTAGGGGAGAGAAATAGAAAGCCGGGAAATGTATTTTATAAAAATATATCCTGGGAGTTTAGTTTACAGCCCCCCTTCCTCCCGCCTGCACCGTAGTAGTTAGAGGGAGAGAAGTTTGCCCGGGGAACTTCAGGAGGGAGAGGGGTTCTCCCTCACCCCCTAGCTTCGTTGGGGAGTTCTGAAAAGTTTTGCAAAAGTTTCTAATCCCCCCCCCCCCCCCATCTTCTAGCAACCCTCTCCTACTCCAGGGTCTGCGCTGTGAATAGAGTGACAGCAGCGAGAGGGAGCGGAAGACATTAGAGACCGTGTTGCCTAAAAATAAGGGAAAATTAATATAAATTCACCCAAATTATCAAACCAGGCGCATTTTGCACAGAAATTTCCCGGGTGGACCCCTCTCTCTGGAGAGTGTTCTAGGAAACAAGCAGCTCAATCTTTGGGGGGACTCTGGAGCCACTTTGGGGAACTCAGCCCCCCTTTCCTTCGTTTTCTTTGGAGGGGGGGAGAGAGGACTAAAGTTTTTCCTTTCATAATAAAGAAACGAATTTATGTGCTCTCCCCCCTTCTGAGTCGCCCCGAAGCCATTGGTTTTCCCCATTCGAGCATGTTTAGAGGGAAGTGTGATTCCAAGTTAGTGCTGCATGTTGTTGCATTGGGGAGAGGGGTTTGTTAACTGAAAGCAGGAGAGATCCGGAGAGAGAGAGAGAGAGCAGGGACAGCTTGTTGTCAGTATCATAAACAACCAAAATGGAGGGAGAACTGAGGCATATAACAAAATAAAAATTAGAAAAAAATTCCCAAAAATACTTAAAAATCGGGACTGATCCCCCTCTTCTTCCTAAGGGTAACAGAATAAACCCCGAGTCCTCGCATGCCCTTTTTAACGTTTCAGGGAGCAAGGAGTTAATATTTATTAATTTTTTGTTGATGAATTCTTTGGAAAGGCAAAGCTTCTTATAACTCGTCACCGACAATGAAAAACCTGAAAAGCCCATTCAGATGAGAGAGGTAGGATGAGATGATAGTGCAGAAACTACATAACGTTGGGGTAATGTGGAGTGATTTTAGATAAGATAAATGCTATATTTGCTCCTTTATAACTTCCTTTTTAATGCTCTTTGTGTGTGGTTGGTTTCTCTTTTTCTTATTTTTGGCCGGAATATAATGCCTTTGTAGTGTCACTTTCCTGATCTAATTAGGATGTGTGAAGCAAAGAGTAAACCTTTCCGGTTTATAAAGTACATTTTCGTTGCATTTGAAATTCAAATTTTACTTGTGACTCCCTCCTCTATTTAAACTGGATTCTTCAGTGTAGTGTTGGACTGGAACATTACCTCATAGAGAAAAAGTAAAGGCACCTCTTCTAGCGTAGAGGGCGCAGAGTAAGGATACCTCTTCTGGGGATGGCTTGTGATTTCACTAGCATGCTTAGTTCACCTGTTTGTGTCCCATAAATAATGTATTCTACAGCTTTCTCGTTTTATTTATATAAAATGATGCCTCATCTTGCATCACATTGAAGTTAATGAGAAAGTGCTGCTGATGTTGGTTCCACGTGGGAACAGGGACAGAGCAGGGCATTTTAAAGAGACAGCTTCTCTTTTCTTATAGTTATCATTACCTATGTAGAACCTCTGTTTAAAGCACAGGGGTGGGTCTGGGTTTTTTAAGATAAAGACATTAAACTGACCTTTGTATGATAAATTAATGCAGCATAATAGGGATAAATGTGCAGATTTGTTTGGATTCAAGCATTTCTTTTGTGTGTAGCAGGTATTCAGGAGAGTTTTCTTAATGTATTAGTTAAAATGTTGTGTTTTGGAAATGACTTTGGAATGGATGTTGCAGAAATTTGAAAGTCTAACATTATTAATGTAAAATATAATAGTCTTCTGTTAGTTCTGAATTCCTTGAAAGGTGACCTAAAGGCTATTATGTAACAAAATTTCATAGCCATCTTGTAAAAAGTTAACTGCATAATTTTCACTTTGAGTACTTTCAGCTTTATGGGGGACATATAACTGTCTGTTGAAAAGCAGTGCAAAGCATCTTCTGTATATAAAACCTGAGAACCGGTCCAAAATATGTTTTTAATTGGACAATGCAAGGGATATTTGTGTACACAATAGCTGTGTAATTTTAACATCTCTTGAAAAATTACTTTCTGTTTTTAAAGAATCTTAATTACACTCAGACTCCTTATTTGTGTGTGTGTGTGTGTGTGTGTATATATATATATATATATATATATATATATATACATATACATACACACACAATGTCAGTTGACATCATTATGGTAGCTGGTACAGATTCCACCTGAATTTTTAACTTCTAAATATTTAACTATCGTGGTGTCAATTCTCCTACTTTATGATTGTGTAGTTTTGTATATTTTAATTCTCATTAAAACATCTACATTTTAAAATTCTTAGTATAACTTCTTAATATACTAATTGGATATCTTTATAAAAAATTATTACTTTTTTTCATTACAGTTGCTTTGTTTTTATAGACCTTATATTTAATTGTAAATTAAAATTTAAATACCAGGAATCCACTACTGGAGATAAGAGGGCTGAATTTGTATGGAAGCTTTTTCAGTAAATATCTTCCTTTGCCCTTTAGACATTTAATATGACTTCTTATAGCCTAATGTGTTCAATGGCCTATGCTTACAAATAATTTGTACTTTTATAATAAATGGAACTAAAAACAATGGTAAAACTGTTTGTTGACTGGGATAGTCTTGTGGTTACAGATTTTTGGAAGAAATCACAAAGTTTTCCAGTGACTCTCAGTTTTGAAAATTAAATCACATCAACTATTCTTCGGCAAGAAAAAAGCTCATTAAGGGAGAAGAATTAATCTGTTAGCATAAAGGACTGAAATTGTACATTTTACAATATTATCTTTCTATGTTTTGAGATCTTTTCTAGATTTACAATAATTCAAATTTAGAAGGGCCTTTCCAAATATTTTTTCATAAATCTTTCCCTTTAAAGTTATACTGACTTGAAAAAACAAATTTCACAAAATTCTTGAAGTGTCTTATGTTTGTTTACTGTAGTGTAATTTTTTTAGTCTTTAGTTATGCAGAAATACCTTTAACTAGTGTAATAATGATACCAAAATAAAATTTTAAACTAATATTACATTTATGATAATTGGAAGTATGGAAGACATTTCATTTATTTGGAAACATAAATTATAATTTAACTTTCATAATGCTGAATATAAACATTGTTCATAACATCAAGTGTAGTGTAACAGTTGCTGAGTGTTTTTTTTGACTCAGTTGCTTATTGTGAAGTGAATCCAATCCACCGAAGTATAGTTAAAAAAAACAGTGGGGGAAGATTTTCAGACACTCTAATTTTGGGTTTTATCTATATTTTATTATTCTACTTGATTATATGGTAAATGTTACTTGATAATATTCTTTATATCCTTAGTTGCTCTCATTTTGTGGAATACTGAATTATTCTTAGAATAGATGAGGTGATGTTTGGTAGAAATAAAAGTAACACTTCAGGACACTGAAGATTTTAAAATCCTTTTTCTAATATCAATAGCTCTGACTTGGTGTATGATAAATCATTTGAAAATTTGCCCTTTAAATACCCGAGGAAGTAAATGTTCATTCACTTTTATTGGTGAAGTTGTCCTAGTTTCTGTAGGTAAACTAGAACGTTCTAAAC